TATTATGTTCGCTGTTTCAGTAGCTAGCGTTTACTCTTCTATAAAATTGATGTTTTTTTGTATAAGATTTATTGTTATAGTAGTATCTTATTAGCTATTTCAGAAGAAAATTTTGTACTTAATTCCTACCATTAAGTGCCTAATTATTTTTATTAAAACCAGTATTCCTAAAAGAAAATACAGGTGACCACTGAACAACACAGGGGATTAAGGCACCCAACACCACCCACTCCCACTCCTGTGCATTCAGAAATTCATGTATAACTTCGGACTTCACAAAAATTTAGTTGTCCCTTGGTACCCACAAAGTATTGGTTCCAGCCTCCCTCCTTACCCCCCACCCGCAGATAACAAAATCTGTGAATGCTCAAGTTCCCTACATAAAGTAGCATAGCTCGCCCTAACTGGTTTGGCTCAGGGGATAGAGTGTCAGCCTGCAGACTGAAAGGTCCCAGGTTCAATTCCGGTCAAGGGCATGTACCTTGGTTGCGGGCACATCCCCAGTAGGGGGTGTGCAGGAGGCAGCTGATCTATGTTTCTAACTATCCCTCTCCCTTCCTCTCTGTAAAAAATCAATAAAATATATTTAAAAAAACTAAAAAACAAAGTAGCATAGCTCAATGCATAGTCAGCCCTCCACATCCATAACTCCCAACCTCAGACTGAAAACAATATAGTACTGAAAACAATCCATGTATAAGGAGACCCACGAAGTTCAAACCCATGTTGTTCAAGGATCAACTGTACCTTTCTTTGCCATTCAAGTAAATGATTTAACATTTTCTTCAAGGATCATTCTGCATGCAACCTTTCACTTTATTTTACTCAGATACTCAAATGAGAGTAAAACAATTTCTAATTTTTACGCAGCAATCCATTTTGAAAGTCTTAGAAGTCACTGATAACCCCAAAGTGAGATATTTCTTATTTATTAAAGTAGCCTATCTGTGAGTTACTTCCTTACCTATAAAAAAGAACATAAGCTTCTGCATTTTGTACAGTAGATTCTGAAACTTCAGTGACACTCTGATCGTCAAATTCATACCAGAGATTATTTAAATTGTTTCGGCAGTAGGCAATATAGTGTCCACCTGAATTTAAGAGAAAAATTTTTTTAATCATTTCAGTAATACCAATTAATACAAGAATGGAAAACAAACTACTTTTTTTTTTTTAAATATATTTTATTGATTTTTTACAGAGAGGAAGGGAGAGGGATAGAGAGTTAGAAACATCGATCAGTTGCCTCCTGCACACTCCCTACTGGGAATGTGCCCGCAACCAAGGTACATGCCCCTGACCGGAATCGAACCTGTGACCCTTGAGTCCGCAGGCCGATGCTCTATCCACTGAGCCAAACCGGTCAGGGCAACAAACTACTTTTTATTCCAAGTTCTTAACAGAGACTGAGATACAGCAAGACCTATAATTTTTCCCCAGTATGTATATATCCTCACCACCATTACTTCAGGAAACACAAATAAGGATAGCAAATGTAACCTTAAAAAACCCAGAGTAAAAATGATCATGTTAAAGTACTTATTATTTAATTGTATACAAAATATAGTTTTCCAGTATTTCCAACTTCAGAGTAAAATTATTCAATTTCCTAAATTTTTTGACTTTTTGTTTCATTTTAATCCTCACCCAAGGATATTTTTCCCATTGATTTCTAGAGAGAGTTAAAGGGAGGAATGGGAGGGAGAGGAGAGAAAGAGAGAGAAACATCACATTGATTGGTTGCCTCCCGCCACTGAGCAACCGACCACAGCTTAACATGTTTTTAATAACCAAAATAAAATAAGAATAAATTTTTAAAAATCTACTTTTACAATGTTTTCTTTGGTTCAATCAGGTCTTACTTAAAAGATCAACTCAGATGTTTACTATTTTTAATATAATCTAAGAACATATGTCAAACCTGTATACTTACTACTTGCAGTTCCATGATGACAAATGACTGACAGAAGGTCATAGGTAACAATTTGAGCTGGACTATCTTTAGCAAGAAATGGCTGAAGATCCAGGCCTTCCAGTGGAAATGAAACATGGGTACTGATTTTGGTGGAAAACATCAGTTCATGTCTGAATCTTTTGAGATGGATGCATAAAATCTAAAAGAAAAAGGCAACATTAAAATTCTATTGCTTTATATGCTAGATAAAGGAGTCTATTAAATATATGTATTGAATTAAGTATCAAGGTTAAACATTGTTCTGCAATAATGATAACCTCATTCCAGAGGTGTTAAAATGTGGAAATAGTGAAACATGGTACTTACTAAATTTACAGCTACTGGGTTTTCTAATTTTACGCTTTATACCTGCAAGAGCCTACAATGGTGATTAAGCTGTGCTCAACATCGTTTCACTGGTAAGGGTACTTACTTGCTGTGTAACTCAGTATTTTAAAAATGGATATCCCTAATAGGACATAAATAGCAACTGGTCAATAGAAACAGTCCATTATTTACCCGTGCTAAAAAAATTTACTACTAATTAATTGTGTTTCTACCAGAAAAAATAAATTCAATTATAATAAAGCCCATACCTCAGGAAACTTTTGTACTTTACAAAACTTTACTCCATTCCTCAACCTAAGGTGAGAAAAGAGAAAAACAATTAAAATAAACCCATTTCCCATAGGATTGGAAAAAAGCTTTAGTATTTTCAAATAGTCAATAGTCTTTTAGAAAATGCAGAGACAAAAGAACTCAGACTAAAAATGCTCACTAATGAATTATATGCTATACATGAAAAAATATACACTAATAAAACACTGGAATCCCTTATTGTAAAAAATTATTTAAACTAAGCTATCTAATAAAAATGTAGGGAGTTGTGTGATTCTTTGATAAAATTTAATTTTTTGTAAACAAGCAATCAAAACATAAACAAACTCATAGATACAAGGAACATAATGATGCCTGCCAGATGGGAGGAGAGTTAAGGGGTTGGGTAAAAAAGGTGAAAGGGCCAATTATGCTCAATGGTTAGAGTGTCAGCCCTAGGACTGAAGGGTCTCAGGTTTGATTTCAGTAAAGGGCATATACCTCAGCTGCAGGCTCTATCCCAGTAGGAACACATTCAGGAGGCAACCAATTGATGTATCTCTCTCACATCAATGTTTCTCCCTCTTTCTCACAACCCTTGCCCTCTCTCTCACACTCCCTTCCCCTCTCTCTAAAAATCAATGGAAAAATATCCTTGGATGAGGATTTAAAAAAAAAAGTACAACTAGAAGTTACAAAATAGTTACAGGGATGTAAAGTGTAGCATAGGGAATGTGGTCAATAATATTGTAATAATAATATATGAAATCACACAGATAATGATTTATCAGGGCAATCACTATCTAACCACTAGGTTGTACTCCTGAAACTAATATAATATTGAATGTCAACTATAATTTTTATAATAAAATTAATAAATAAAAGTCCTACTATCCATGGCTTGCTTACACTTTTATTATCATCCAGCTTATTGCCCTAGCTGGTTTGACTCAGTGGATAGAGCACTGGCCTGTGGACTGAAGGGTCCCGGGTTCAATTCCAGTCAAGGGCACATGCCCGGGTCATGGGCTCAATCCCCATTGGGAGCATGCAGGAGGCAGCTGGTCAATGATTCTCTCTCATCATTGATGTTTTTATCTCCCTCTCCCTCTCCCTTCCTCTCTGAAATCAATAAAAATATATTAAACACACATACATACACACATAAAAAATCCAGATTATCAAGTAAAACTGGGTAAAATAAAATCCCAATTTCATGGAATTGGTTGGTCAGGTCAACATATTTATTATACGTTTCTTTTCTAAAAAATTAAATTTATTGGGGGTAGCACTGGATAATAACGACGTAGGTTTCAAGAGTACAGTTCTATAAAACATCATGTGCTCACCACCCAAAGTCTGGTCTCCTTCTATCACCAAATATTTGACCCCTTTTACCCTCTTCACCCTCCCCACCCCCTGAAGCCCCTTTCCCCTTTGGTAACCACCGTACTGTCTTCTGTGTCTATAAGTTTGTTTGTTGGTTTTGTTTGCACATTTTTGCTGTTTTATATACCACATAAGTGAAAAATTATATGGTTCTTGTCCTTTTCCATCTGACTTATTTTGCTTAGCATGATACTCTCAAGACCCATCTATGTGCCAAAATATAACCTTTATTCTTAGAAGTGGAAACAATTTGAGATACAGGCTGAATATTAGTAATAATCTATATTAATATACAATTGACAGATTTCTACCTTGGATTTGGGGGCTGATGCAAGGTTCTTTTCTATCTCCACTACTATTATCTCGTACTAGTTGGTGAGTTTTTCTCAAACCAGGTTCCCCCCTGTAGGCCAACACCCTCTTCAGCAAGATATGGCTTCAAGGACAAACCAACGATACTTTCCAATTTTCTAGAAGTATAATCTTTTCTAGAAAGTACAAGGCAGCCTTTCATCCTTATTAACCAAATATGCCATTCCTTTTTGTCATGAAGAGGACTAAATGCTGCAGATCAACATTTCTCTGTGATTATTGCCAACAGACAGAAGTTTGTATTATAAAGATTCTATATCTTATTAGGAGACCATTATTTTTCTATTACAGAGATTTAAAAAATATTTACCAGTTCACTCTATCTCAAACATATTTGCCTTCAATTCACCAATTACTTTTCTAACTTATCACCAAGAAGCCTTAAAAGCCTGAATTTATTACAACACAGAACAAGGCAACTACTACTAAATATGAAGAAACAAAATCCATCCTGACTGGCATGGCTCTGTGGTTGAGCATCAACCTATGAACCAGGAGGTCATGGTTCAATTCCTGATCAGGGCATATGCCCAGGTTGTGGGCTCAGAGTGCAGGAGGCAGCTGATCAATGATTCTCATCACTGATGTTTCTATCTCTCTCTCTCCCTCTCCCTTCCCCTCCGAAATCAATAAAAATGTATTTTTTTTAAAAGAAAGAAAATTCATACTTTTGCCCTGACCGGTTTGGCTCAGTGGATAGAGCGTCGGCCTGCGGACTGAAGGGTCCCGGGTTCAATTCCGGTCAAGGGCATGTACCTTGGTTGCGGGTGCATCCCCAGTGGGGAGTGTGCAGGAGGCAGCTGATCAGTGTTTCTCTCCCATTGATGTTTCTAACTCTCTATCCCTCTCCATTCCTCTCTGTAAAAAATCAATAACACATATTTAAAAAAAAAGAAAAGAAATCCATACTTTAACTGTATTTCTATTCTGCCATCATACAGCAGGTAACATCAAGGTTGGTATAACCCTTCTGAATTTTACATAGATTTGAAACTGCATAATTTACAGCCACTCTCACTTCTTTGAATTCAGTCTGTTAACATGGTAATCCAGAAGAGAATATTCCTTATTTATGATGACAAAACTTAATATAATGAAAATATATATTATATATCTCTTTTATAATGTATGTGGAAAGTTTTATGCAAAATTATATACTTATTTTAAATCTCGAAACACACTCTTACATCTTAGATAAGTGTATTAAATCTGTTACATTTTTGCTTCCAATTTGTTTTATAAAACAACCAGCCTCTTTATTTTTATTAGGACAAAGTTCACTAGCCTTTATTTTTCTAAATAAAGAGGAATTTTAACTCAATTCAAGTAACTACCACCACAACAAAATACCATTTAAAATACAGAACATGTTATTAAAAGCATTGGCAATAACACTTACTTTTTGCATTTTTCACAACTGTACATGTTGTCACCTGAAAATAGAATAAATCTGGTCACTCCTCTCAAATGAAAAGCAAGATATTTTCTTTTGGTTCTGCAATTCTGTTGAGTCTGCCACATGCTCACCTTGCAGCACAGTAACACAAGGCTCACATTTTTTAGTCTCTGAGCAGGAGTCAGCTCACAATGTATCCCTTGCCTAAAGCACCCTGACCTCCCTCTCTTTTCAACCGTGAAAGCCTATCTTAAAGAACATCCTTTCCATTCACCCACTCAACCAAATTTACTGACTGCCCATTACATGACTGCCCACACAAAGTACTGCACATATAAAAATACTGAAGGATCTTAAATTCTTAAATATTATGAAGGGATTCACAGACTATATCCAGATATATAAGACTTTCATATTGGTTGAATTTTTCCTTCTTTGAATCCCTGAAAAGTTTTAAGACACCTCATGTCATCTTATCTAGTACTATAGGAACTAGTATAAATTATTTCAAGATATGATTTGTGGTATTTATAGTTATAGCACCACGGTAGATAATGGCACTGTGGCAATATGGGCAAGTACTACTTAAGCTCCTTAAAATTTAGCTTTTATAAACATTTTATGTTCAGTCCCACTAGTATTTTAGATTACCCACAACAATTTAGTCATATTTCTTACCTTTTAATTCATCTCTAGCGAAGAAGGCAGCAAGACAATCTTGCAAGGTTACTATTGGACCCCAAAACCAGCTAGGGACACATGAGACAACAAACCTGAAACATTATCAATAGAAAAAAAAAGGAAGTGTTCTGCCAGTACAGCAGAAACAGCAGTTTTAACAATCAATCAATTTTTTAAAAAATGCACACATACCTCTTCACATATTCCATGAAAAAAGCTATCCACCCTTGTGGAGCATACGCTTCACCACATGATCCTGCTTTGACTATGGAAGTTGGATGACTCGATGAATGCAGCTTTGCAAGGTCTTCCTTGCCAGGAATTGGCAAGGATAGATCTTGGAAGGTCTCCAGGGTTACCGACACCTAAAATTGTTTTGTGTTTTAAGAATGGGATGAAAATAAGCCAGTTCAAACATTTATGAGAACAGATTTTAGACTGCAAAGATCAAATCAAGTTATAATAAACAAAAACATCAAATTGCTTTATTGTAATAACAACAGCAAAACACTTTCTCTGTACCAAGTGCTGTTCTAAATGTAATCTTCACATAAACCTTCTGAGATAACTACTAACATCACATTACTCGAGGACACTGCAGCATAGAGAAGTACCTCACATCCAGTCACTGTAGTGGGAGGTACAAACTCTTATGCACTACAGTATTTACATTTGGAAATGACCTCTTCATAATAGTTTTTAAATGTTTTTTTAAAAAGTTGTAAAACCTAGCATGTGATTTTTTTTAAATAGCTGAAAACATGTCAGGACAAGTCCATTTAAATATTTGGTACCAAATCAGCATATATTAAAATTACCCTATTGGAAGCCCTTAGGTTTTACTTAAGATTTTAACACAATAATTGAAAACTTACTTCTGCATTGTTGTTGTTTTATGGGGGTTTGGAGGGGAGTGTCATTTTAATTTCAGTAGTTACATTCATTCCTACACTGAAGTAAAACTGCTCTTAAGAAAAGCTCAAAGAAACTCAGAGGTTTAGAGGTATTATTAAAGAACTCATGATAATTTTAATATATGTTCTTATATATGAATCTGATACTACCTTTATTTTCTGAGCCCCAATCTTAATAAAGGAAAATATTTACAGGCCATATAACCAAATGCAGAAGATACAATCACAGTTCAGTACCTGTGAGCAGCAACAGTTTCCCAGCACATTAATTTCATCAGCCTGATGAGAATGTGGGTACTAACAGTTCTTGCTGCTGAGCAACAAATTACCTTTTATATGTGACCAGAGATGAAGAACGGAGTTAATCTTCCTGTGATTCATGCCTGTCCAATAATGGGTCAAGACTCAATCTTTAAGAACTATGTTGCTATTATTCCCAAAAAACAATTCTATGTCTAGAATCAATTATACTAATGTAAACACAAGAAACACATGTGTAATCAGCAGCAGCTCCTTGCTACTGATGAGGAGTTACAGTAAACTTCTCATACCATTTTGCAAAAAATTCCTGTGTATTATAATTCCTTCATACTCACCCTGTCACAAGTGAGACACTGCACTGAACTAATGATTGTTCCATCAAAAACGTCTGAAATAACACTTCGGTATTTCTTGTGCTGTTTTTTTCTCTTTGGGGATGATGCAGATTGAGCTAGGACTGAGAAATAAGGGTTGAAATATTTTTTTAAAATCAAAGTAGCTCCTTTCTTTAAGCATTTTTCTCTGGAATCTTTAACAATAAAATTTACTATGCTGATGAAATTTGTCAAAATACTATTGAAGAGCCTTGCTTTAAAAAAAGGAGAAACCAAGTGAAATAAGAGGGATTCAGTCTCCCTATCTTGACTTCAATCAGAACAGTTTTGCTTTTACTTGTTTGCTTTTACTCTAAGTAAAGCTATCTTTGAAGAAGTGACTCTATAATTAAGCTGAGAGTTCTTTATATAGTCTAGGTACAAGTGCTTTGTATGTGATTTGTAAATATTGTTTCTCTACCTTATCTTTTTTTCATTCTCTTAATAGTGTCTTCTGGTTGTTGTTTTTTTCCTTTATGGATCATGCTTTTGATGTCTTTGTCTAACACAACATCATTAAGGTTTTTTCCTATGTTTTTTTTAAGAGTTTACTAGTTTTACATTTTATAATACTGGAACTCTCATTCATAGCTGGCAGGAATG